AAGACTAAGTTTATTGTGACTGGGCAATTTTCTTGGCATTATAATGTGTTGTATTTGCCTTGCAGTAGCTGCAGAACTGTAGCGTAATGGTTTTATATTTTAGTCTTTGACTATAATGTCAAAGACTAAAATATAAAACCATAACGCTACAGTTCTGCAGCTAGCATTGCAGCAGAGTGTAGAATGGTGCAGTTTACATTTTACAGCTCAGAATGTACAAATACACCTTTGCAAGCTTCAAAGGCCTAGAATTATATTCATTTCATGACAAATATGTTCTTTGCTTTGCTTTGTAGTTTTCACTTCTAATACAACATGTGTTGTTTGATGAGAAATTGTCATCAAAATTATTCCCTGTAACCCTTTGTTGTGCTAAAATGTATGAATCACAAAATTTTCACAAATCACTCAAACAGGAAAATTCATATCTTCTTTAATGTTTTGCACCCTAACTCTATTCGTTCGATAAAAAAATTAGCAATACGTAACTTCAGTAAAGTTCTTTGACATTATTTTTATTATTAATTGTATATATGTCTTTATATCAGGAGAACCATCAATTTACTAAATAGTACCAAAACAACAACAACAAAAAAAAAAAAACAAAACAAAAAAAAACAAAAAAACAAAAAAACAAACAAACAAACAAACAAAAAACAAACAAAAACAAACAAACAACGACAAACATTGGCCTGTTTTTAAAACTTTTTAAAAACCATTGAATCAGAAATGTTGTCAAGTTCAACCATATTTTTAATTACATCGAACAAAAATTTGACTTAAGGACATACGCAACGTACCTTACCTACTGATAATTTTTCAAGATATTCTTAATTTAAGATCGTAGTTCCATCAGATGTTCATAGACAAAAAATCAACAAGCATTACCAGGTGTTTTGAAAAGATATCAATTGATGGAAATTCTTGTATAATTCAAAGAAAAATATATAAAAATTACTAAATAAATATTCTAGATGTTTTGTTTATCCAAACTTGTTGTAAAAGAAGTGTACAACAGCATACATAAACATTAAAATATAGCACACAGCTCCTTTAAGTATTGGAACTCTTCAACTCCAGGGAAAAAGACAATTAAGTTCAAAGTACGTTGCGTATGTCCTTAAGAATTAATTTGATAAGCTCTTTTTTTTGGGGGGGGGGGGGGGGGGGGTTACAATGCGGTACAATAAACTGTAGAAAAAGTTTTATTGAAATGAGCATAATAAATTCGATTTTAAATAAAAAAAAATATATATTCAGTCACACGTACAACGATTTGCCTGGCGTGCAGAATTGTTGACGTTTACTGAATTAGAGATTCCTCTCACCTACTCTCCAAAGACATTTCATTCATACAATTCCTGCTTGTGATTGCTTGTGTTTTGTGAAATTTGCATAACGTAACTTTCCTTATAAAGTTCGATAACTCAAATTGTGTCCCTTTGAACAATGTATGCTTTCTGCTTTATATTATGCAAATGTTTAGTCAATGCTAACAAACAGCAAGCTTGTATATTATTTAATTCATTAGAGTCTGTTTTATCTATCTATCTATCTTAAGAAAAATATCATTTTAGAATAATAGCCCCCCCCCCCCCAAAAAAAAAATCCACCCAGCCTCTTTCTAAAACCCTGTTAAGGACCCTCTATACACCAGTGCAAAATGTGTTTTTTGGACATTGAGGAAATTATATTGAATAAAGGTGTAAATATTGAGCTTATCTATCTAATTTTCAATATATGGTATATGTACGTGGGACTTACCTCCAAGAAAAATGTTTAAAGACAAGAAATGTAATACTGAACAGAATTCACTTTTGTTTACTTCTTGGGGAAAATACATGCAAATAAAGTGTTCAATTAATTCACCCTGGCCTTTTTAAAATGTTAAGAATATTTAATTGATAACAAATTGAGTAATATTCTGTAAATTTTAATTTATTGGAATTGAGGTATAGGGGCAGATAACTCTAACTGCAGAAAAATACCATAGAATCAGAACTCTTTAGTGTGCAGTGTAGAGAGGGTTCTTTAGATACTTAGGTTGAATTAGTGTTAATTTCAAAAATATATTCAGTTACTTTATGTAAAACAAAATATGACGTAATTTGATATCCCGTGCAATAAAGTACAGTTGTTTTATTTTAAAAATCAGAATTAATTCGATTACAAATGAAAAAAATTCAGTCAACAGTCAATTTACATAGACCAAAACCAGTTGTTCGAAAATATCAGCAATATGTCATTTCATCATGAATTCTTTGGAATTCAAAATGAATTTAAATTCATTAAAATTATTGATTATTTGGATTCATATTAAGAGAACAATAGGTGCGGATCCAGGATTTTTTCCCCGGGGGGGGGGGGGGGTTGTTCCACCCCAATCAAAATAAAAAATTTCTCCAGAAATATCTTGACAAGCCAAAAAAAAAAAACCTATTTCGTGGCGATGGTGGTGGGGTCCACGTTTTCTAGTGGGGGGGGGGGGGTCCAAAGTAATTTTTTTATTTGCTTCAGTATATTTTTATTGACTTTGCAAATTCCATGGGGGTCCGGACCCCCTCCCCCTCTAGATCTGCGCATGAACCATCATTTCAGAAAATGTACACAAACAATATTTTATTTAGTCTTAGTATTAAGACTACTTTAAAATCTATGTAAAACAAAGTCTAAGTTTTTTGTGATTGAACAATTTGCCTGGCATTTCAGTGCGTTATATTTGCATTGCATATGTAGTAAAAGCATTCCCTACCTGCACCCTTCAAAGACATCTCATATGTACAAATCTTGCTTTTGATTGCTTGTGTTTTATGGAATTTGCATAATAATGTACATATTGTATTTAATATGTCAAATGCATGAACAAAAATTTTCGCTTTATTCCGAGAGCGAGTAGAAAATGTGGGGCTTTTTCCATGCATAAACGTTTTGTGGTAACCCATAAAGCAATTCAACTCACTAAGCTTATTAGTCTGGGTGTAAGCTACGGTGGTGCCTTATTTAGAATGTACATTCATTCTGGGGTCAGAAAATGTAGTTTCCTCGACCTGTTACAGAGTTGTTTTATACCCTGGTGACCGTTAAGGCCTTTGGATCAACAGACACGTCTCTTCAATAACAAGAATTTTCTCACCAAATATATGTTTTAAAAAAGGGAAATAACTCTAGGGAAAAAGTACTTCAAATAAAATAATAAGAGTATCTTTAAAGAGGCATACACTTTCACAGCTTCTGAGCAGTTTTATTATAGATCGAAATCACTTTTTCTATTTTAATCTTTTTAAATAGAAATTATAAAACTTATTTAGACATATTCTATCGTAGATTGACAGATTTTCCAACCTAACCACGTACTATTGTGTATATCCGAACGTATTAATTCAACCTGATTTATTTCTTGGTTATTTCTGTTCACTGAGAGTCTGATAATTGAAGTAAATTTTTAGATAATTTGGAATTTTTGCGTCGAGAAGTCTATTTCCCTATGTCTGCATGGGTGAAGCAGGAATATGTAATTGTAGGCCGACAGGGGACATACGACGAAGTTCGTGCCGATATTGCCATCAGACAAGGGTTTATTTGCTTAAAGGGGCATATTATATTGATTGTAATTGGAACAGCTTTTAACAAGATCAAATTAGTAGTCATTGTTTGTTGTGTCGTGAAAGCGTTTGCATCTAATGAGATACCCATTGGCAGAATAAAGCATATTTTGGACATGAATAGTCCGAAGTGTCACGTGTTTTTTCCTGGTATGCTCAGCAGGGCGATGATATACTTAGCATGTAATACACGTCTTCCACCTACAAAACAGTCAGTGTTCTCTCTTGTCTGATAGAAAAGAATCTAAAGAGTAGAAAACAGTTATCCAAAAGGTTATGTAAATGTGTTTGTTATGATGAGTCGCTGTATCCAGTGTTTATTTATTTTACCCTGGTCCCGTTGTTGTGTTGCCGCATCTGTAAGCACATAAGAGTTAACTTTTACGCCATTATAAACCATTTATTCGTCTAATTGGATCAATTTGTAAATAACACGGAGACCCGCTGTGTGTTTTCTTTGTATCCCGTCTTGGGTAGCCTTAATTATTAGCACATTCTCATCATTATTTTCTGCTACATCAAATATATCGAACTGTTCTTTCTTGTAGTTTGTTGGACCTGTCCCGAAACATTTTCTTGTAAACTAACATGTAGAATCCATTGTGGCTGATTCATCTTACCAATTTCCTCTTCATAGATATACATGTATTACTTAAGTCATTTGAGTGTATATGAGATATGGGGGAAAAATATGCAAACTTTTTTCAATAATAAAATCAATGCGTTCATAAATCCAAATTCCTTGTAAAACTGAACCTACATGTTCTCTTGAAATTTGCAGTAATTAAAATCGTATAAGAATTAATCAATGACAGATCATATAGTGCCCCCCCCCTCTCTCTATTTCTGCTCAGATATGTAATTCAAGATAAAATCAGCAAAACCACATGAATTACGTGTATGGATACAAGATCTATATTATATAAGTTTGTGATTTGTATTCTTATAAATGGATTTAGATTTTGACACTCTTGAAAACGAAATAAATGTATAGTCTATTGTTTAAAACTTTATGCTTTAAAGTATTATAAAAGTTTTCAGGTGCAAGAGATTTTGATGTAATTAATATATTTTACAATTTAAAATTTTGCTGATTCGTGGTAAAATCGATAAAAAATTTAATAAAAGCGTCACCATACCCGATTTAGGGACCTTTTACAGCCTGACAATGAGAAATCCTCGGAAATTTTTATTGTTATTGGGCGGCATAATGGCCGTATTTCAATATTTTATCTGCATGTTGATGTTATCAGCGAGCTTTGATACAAGTCGACAGCGCGAGAATCTGATCCAATAAACAAAAAGGCGGGGTTATCGCGCACTAGGCTATTTCTCTCATCGATCATTGGACGAACCTCAGAAAATAGGCGGAGCAACATCAGCTGGAAGCCTCATCAAATATCGCATACACTATGGCAGAAAGGAGATTTGTAACCAATTTATAAACAGTGTAATTTTGACAAATTATTATTTGGATGTAGTCGTAGCAGCAAAGAGACGATTATTTCAAAATCAGACGAATTATCATCAATGACTATGGTGCAGTTCGGAGCCCCAGTCAATTTTGATCGAAGGTCCTCTTTTAGTATTAGCCGCGTGCTTGGCGAGGAATTAAACGACGACAACGATGATATTGCGACGACTGAACACGATGATTCCTCGGAAAATCTGGATATGCCTGCAGATGATTCGAGCAATGTGGATGTTGAATCTTTGGAATCGGAGCTGGAAAATTCAGAATATTACCAAAAAATGTTTCAAAAAAACTGTGATCTACCACCTGCAAACTCAAACGCGAAAGACAATGACACAGTTAATGATAATTTAGATGAATCTGATCGCAATAACAACAGTAATTCTTCTCAACAGACCAACGACAAAAAGTCGGAGAAGCCACCGTTTAGTTATAATGCTCTTATAATGATGGCCATTCGAAGTAGCGCCGAGAAAAGACTGACCCTGAATGGGATTTATGAATTCATTATGAAGAACTTTCCATACTATAAGGATAACAAACAGGGGTGGCAAAACTCAATCCGACACAATCTCAGTTTGAACAAGTGTTTTGTTAAAGTTCCACGCCACTATGACGACCCCGGGAAGGGAAATTACTGGATGCTAGACCCATCATGTGATGACGTTTTCATCGGAGGAACCACAGGAAAACTCCGCCGACGATCCACAACAGCATCTAGAAGCCGGCTGGCAGCCTTAAAAAGAGCTGGATTTGCCGGATACCAGTCGCCAGTATATCCCTACTTCGGACATGCGGGAAAGCCCGGGTCCTACATTTGGCCATTTCCATCCTTGTTTCATCTCGGGTCAACAAATCCAATATCTGCATCCGGGTCTCTGAGATATTCCGGATTCTCTATGTACCCCTACAGAGGTCTGGTCACTCCATCTTCATCACTTCCGGCAGGTGCGTCTCCCAGAACGACAAATTTCTCTGTAGATAGACTCCTAGGGCTGGACATAAATTCACAACAAACAGTAAGCAAATCCAACAGCTCTTTTCTTCCCTGGCCACCCCAAACCGCGATGTCACTAACACAAATGGAACAAATATCTCCCAGTAATAGGGGTCTTGATTTAAGTGTCTTTAAGGGACTTCATGGACTTCCGGTCTCGCCTTTGTCTGCGTTTACCTCCCCTGACGTGATGTCGCAGAGTTCTTTATCGGCCCGTGGAATTTTGCCGACAATAAATAGAAACAGTATTGGTGAAACAAGAACAAGTTGATCAAACTTTTGAAAGAAGAAAATTAGTGCTCTATAAAGTGCAATAACAGAATACGAAGTGAAAATGTCCAGAACTGCTGATGTGTGAGCGATAAATGACTGTTTATTTGCTAAATCTAAAGGTATATATTAAAATAATTAGAGAAAGAATTGCATTTTCTTTATGTTTTGCTTTTTTATATACATATATAAATGATAATTTTCTTTACAAGGTTAGAATGAGCTTTAAACTACATGTATACATGTATTTTGACATTAAAAAGAAATAAAACTTTTAAATGTTAATTAAGATAAATATCGAATTTTCAAAATTCTCATTTCAAATTTTAAGGAAATAGTAAATACATGAAATGAATATCCGAACTTCACATTTTTTTTTCAAGTAAATTGTTCAGAAATGTTCTCTATTCCAAGCTATTTTTGTAGCATAATATATGAAATAAATGACCTTAATTTTTTTTGCTTTTTAATGTTTAAAGAAAATTTAAGCAACCAAAAAAATTAGTGTTTTTAAAAATGTTTTGTAATATTGCTATTTTAATAAAAACAAATTAATGTTCTGATGAGATTATGAATTAAAGATACATTTGATTAATTATTTATAAATAAAGTCAAAATTCTTCCTCTTATTTCTGTGAAGATTAACATGAAAGAAATAATTTACAATGATATAAACATTCTTCATTTTTGATATGGAGATTTAAATGTATTTTCTTTTTCCAAAGATGAATCACTTGACGAGAAAAAAGGAAAGAATTTTACACCAATAAAAGGACCGTTCGATTTATACAATATTGTTTACGCCGAGCTTGTAATAATCACATGTTGTTAATATCACGGCTGAATCAAACACGCCTATTGCGACGAAGAAAACCACCTCCTTTGATCTTTCAGTTTGTTGTAAAGACATTGAAACAGTGAGAAAAGTTATTATACATCTCCTAATCCTATGTTTATTAAATTTTCTCTGGGACCGTAAATACGACATGTTGCTCCCCAATACGTAACTATTTTTTTTTCAATGGCCACCATCAAAGTAGAGCGCAACTGTTGCATTGTTGTGAACGCGTTATGGCCCACGATAAAAGAATCAGATTTATAATCTATTATTCGACATTCTTGTCGTGAAACTTGATTAAAACCTAAATCATTGTGATTAATTCATGTGGAAAATGCATTTCCGGATCGATGTTTTCATTTCATCTCATATTATGGTAAAAAATGTACAAAAATGTGCAGCTGACCATCACTGTCTAAACACTAGATACATCTCTCAGATATTTTCTTTTTACAACTTCCATACAATTATTAAAGGTATTATAATTAAAAGACAGATGTTTATTTCGTCCGGAAATACATGTATTCATTTCATGGTTTAATTTTCGTTTGCCCATTATGGGTTTCTTCCGAATTTAGTTGGGAGTCAATTATGTAGTAGAAGGTGAACCCGAGATGGACAAGAGCTTTATTTTTAAAAGTAAAATTTAAGTACTCTTAATAATGTTAATCCTTCATTATGTACTGTAGACTTAAGACCCTCTAAAATTTCTAAAGATTGTCCCAAATATTTTTTAGAAATTAAGATTATTATATTTTTAAAGTTAAAAAAAAAACCAGGATGCTATTGAAATGTGAATTTGTTATAGTGACATGCTCCTGAATTAAAAAGATTGGTGTGAAAGAAATAGTATACCTTCCAATAGGTAGAAAACAAAATCCTAGCAATTCCTATTACGGGGTTGCAGCACCTTGCTGACTTACTAATGTGCAAAGATGATTGATATATCAAAAAGAAATGAACGATATGTTGTCAAACACTGCGATAAAAGTAATTCACCTGTCATCCGATTCGTCCGCCAAACTTTTTCTACAAGATAACCTTTTCAAAAGAATCTAAAATAAATCACCAATTTGACAAGTGTTGTTACAAACACATAATCGATACATGAACTTTATCAAATAAAAAACAAACGAGAGGGCAGTATGCTTAATGTAGGCCTGCGCTGTTCACGCATCTGTCGGACCTAAGATCCCAGACGGCAGGGCTGGAGTCCTTTTGAAGATGTTTCCTCGAGGTCAAGGGTCACCATTGCACATGCATACCAAATAACGGACCTAATCTGCTTTAATCCAAACATTTGGTATAAGTCAGCAAAATATGTTTTTGACAACTTGATAAAAAAATAAAATATTATCCAAATAGCCCCTTGCGTAGAAACACCTTAATGTACCGTGTGCGGGTATACGAAACTGTTTTTTCTTCGTCTTGGCAAATATTTTGGCAAACATTCGAGATGCCTGCCCATCAGTGATAAATGTTTATAAATATCGTTATCACTAAGTACCTCTGAATTGATTTCTGTTTATTTTCCATCTTAAGTTTGTTTATTTAATGCCTCGGGTCAAAATAATTTTCTGCGGTTTGAAGACTTGTAATATGACACCACGCCATGATACTGTTGGGGATGCTAGTTAGGGACAGAGAGGAGCTAATTTGTCAAAAATATGTCGATGTTGTCATACGATATTCAAACTGTGTTTTTTTTATCTACGACTTTGAAGAAATGGACCGAGAGAGGATATGTTTTTGGCAACTCTTAAGAATTTTTAAAATATTATTTTATCTTCTCAAACAGAAAGCGAAATCTTGAGTGACGTTTGCTTATTTTAACATCTATTGATGTATGAAATGATAAACAAATAGTGTTCATTGAAAATCAAACAAGCTTGTAACTTCCCATACCAAGCGCATCTAGGCATTACTGGTGTAGCTTCTGACATTAGAAATTTGTATCGAGTGTTCGATTATTCTAATAATCACTTGTTCTCATTGATCAAAACAAGCTAATATGTTTTTAATAAATTTTGAAATACAGGTTTGGCAAAAAAACTATTATATGTATATGTTATATATTTTGAATGGGTGGAGGTGTATGCAAAAATTACGTAACTAAATTTGCATTTACCACCATGCACCTAGTAAATTAAAAATTTACAATGTGATACAATCACTCGTAGTTATTTACACAAACTTTATGTAAAATACAAGCCATTGTTGTATTCTGATCACAGGAAGTTTGATTTGCTACATGGAGACAACGTTTTCTACTTTGATTAATAAACTTTAAAATAAAACCCCAATATTTTCTAAAATCTAAGGTACCGCTAGAAGGTGTACGTTAAATATAAACATTTTGATCAAGCAATCTTTAATAGAAAAAGACGTCATTTATAAATATTCATAATCTTAAGTTTGAATCAATGATATTTCTTTATGTATAGGTATTCATTATCACAGGAAAGATTTCCTATAAAATGTTTTTTTTTTAATATTGCATAAAAAGCAACCTGGTACGTATTTTTTGTTTCTCAGTATAAATTTGATAAGCCAGAATACTCTTTTCTCGAAATTTCTTTTTCTTTTCTTTTTTCTTTTTTTTTTTTGGTTTCGATGTCTATGAGCTACAAGAGCTACTGAGTAAAGATGTAATGGTTTCTGTTAAGGTCAGACGACACATTCCTCAAAAATATATAACTTTTCCTAAGAATTTGTGATTGAAATATTACTACTTTAAGAAGTTTCCTCACAAAAAATTGGGGTACATTACCAGGCATTTGTGCAAGATTCCAGAGTATGGCATTACCTATGTAATCCTATACTGGAAATCACTAGAACTGCTCATAATGCCATTTTAGGTTTATATATTTTCAGACATTTTAAAAATAGTTTAGAAATCAAAAGATAATGATAATTATAAAGGTTTGTGGTATATTAAAAATGAATGCAAAACCAGATATTCGAGGAACGTGTCGTCAGACCTAAACCTTTGATATTGCTTGCTTGAGAACACAATCATCTTTAAATTTTAAAGATGTTTATACTTTTATTCCAGCTTACCAACGGCGTCAAAATTCTGGTAAATACACATACATGTAGAACATTAGCTTTTTAGACTTGCATCTTTCTTGCGTTAAGTCAAAATTTACTATTATTACATGTAATAGGTTTTACTTGATTCCATGGCCAGAGGAAGAAATCATGCGAACAGAAATGGTCCTTAGAAGAAAACTTGAGGGAAATTCTTCAAATAATTTACACAAATAAAAACAACGAAGAAAACATTAAGAAAAAGATGACACCCCTCTTAGCAAACATCTTGAATGATATTTTTCATCAAAATGTTCCGTATACGATACAATATGACACCGACTCCCGGAAAATCTTTTTGGGGTGAATAGCCCTCTCGCAGTGCCTGGTTCATGGAAAGGGCAGACTATTTACACCCCAGTGTAATGATTTGTCAATATTTGGGATTGTTTTGTTTGTATTTTGGTATTCTAACACTTACTGTATTCACTATTTTTCATCGCTCGCAACCACTGTTGTTAGATGTCCAAAAAGTTGTTTACGTTAGGTTTCAACTGGGTGTCCATTACAGCGCTATGGGCGTGTATTTTCTTGGATAACAATTTAAAGCTGTTAGCGGAAACATCATATTCTTTTTTAATGTTCTGATTGAGTCGCAACATAACTAAAAACAGAAGGTGTCTGGGTGTTTAACCGTTCCCAGTACGTACTCAAGTGTGGTTGACCACCAAAGCCAATCGCGCCTTACCAATAGAAACACACCTTTAATGTCAAATGGAGATAAAACTATTAGAAGAGACCCAGTTAAATATTTTTATCGATTTTATGAAAGAAAACTGAAACAAATCACCAAAAAGAAATGTAAAACGTATTTAATATTTATATATCTATTCAGAAATGATGAATTATGCACTGCAGTACTTTTGTGAAGAAATTCCAATCTTTCATTATTACCTTGATGCTCAAAAAAAGTAAAGAAGAATTAATGTACTAATAATTGCGTTGTCGTTGCTTTTACTGAGAAAAAAAATTTCTCACCATGTGCGGTAAAAATGTTGCTTGTTATGTAACAATGACTAAATCTATTTGAACCTGTCGAGGCCAGTAAAATGTCACAGAGGGAACAAGGTTAAATATACAAACACTGTTAAGGATGCTTATGTAGCAGATCTTCCTGCGAGAGAGAGAGAGAGAGAGAGAGAGGGGAGAGAGAGAGAGATTTTGAAAATATGATACACGTATATTTACATTTCTTACTACCAGAAAAGCAAATACGAAGCTC